CCCTTAAGACTTTGGTTGGCTGTCGGTTGTTTTAGGCATACTGTATCGAACAATGTATCAGAGGATTGGACTATCGCCAGTGTATTCAAACTTGGGAAGTATAACTTTAACGCAAATAGATAGATATGTGTAAGGTTGAGCCTTGATCGGTGGCAAAGAAAAAATGCTTAAGAAAATCGGACTAGATTTAGATCCTCAGCCAAAGTGCGATGGTGCACTTTGTCACACTAAACATATTCATCTGAAATATGTTTAAAAATTTTCGTAAATTTGAAAGATTTTTATGTTATTGTTTTTGGGAAGGCAAGAATGTCTTCTTAAAATTTGATATATCAACAATAATAGGAGAAAGTTTTTAATCAACAGATAAATTTCCTAATATTGTTTATATATCAAATTTTAAGAAGGCATATAACATGCCTAATAGGTATTATTAGGAAGAACCAAGAAACAATGTTTAGAACGTACGTGCTAGTCATTTTACCGTAATCAGACCTACTTAGTTTTCCAGACTTATCTTGTTCTTGGACGATATCAGGGACCTCGAACAAATTAGCTTTGTACCCCAACTGACCGGGGCTCCATAATTAAAAGCTTTCCTCTTTGTTCGGTCGAAGTTTGTGAATGTTTTTCCATTGAAAATGCTTCAACAAATAGTATGATTACAGGGTGAGGGAAGCATAATGGAAAGTCGTTTATCACTTCAACGCTCTTCGCTCTTCCAAACGAGTTCTTTCTATGTGAGCATACATTGTCGGAGCTCTCTTTTCAGCACAGTATTGACAGGACATTTGAAAGCACGTGAAGAGTAAACGTTTGTTTCATTGATGCTCTTTTAGTTCCAACCAAGATTATGAATAGCTAAGTTATTTCAAGCTAATCTACATTAACTCCTAACTTCTGCGGTGATGTAAAAATATTTTTTTCCGTGTAGAACTTTGTAGGCAGATTGTTTTGAAACTTTTTACATTTTTGTTTTGTTGTAAACATGGTGTGGCTCCTAAATATGGGTCTTAAAAGTGTAGACAATTTTGAAGTCAATAACCTAAATACAAACGCCCTTTATGTTATATAAATAAATAATCCTCAAATCCCCAATCCATAAATCCCTAATAACCCACAAGAGGCCGGCAACGCACCTGTAGGAACTGCTTTGGCCCCATGAGTGCCCATAGGCGGCGCTAATTGCTTACCATCAGGTAATAAGCCTGCTCGTTTGCCGACCTGTGAAAAAAAAAATAACTAGAATTTCGTTCAGCAGTCTTGTTGGCGACTATTTGGAGAAAGAGGCATTTTATAGTAAAGATAAAAATATCCATCGACCATACAAAGTAAAGTACGTCCAAAAATAATCGCGCTTCTTACCCCAAGTGTCTCGTAAAACTGATGGATTGATATCATCACTCAAATAATGAGAATGATAGCCAAAACTCTGAAATATAACCGAAAAAAAAAATGTTTACCAACTTTTTTTTTTTGAAAATATGACTCATTTTTTAATAACTCACAAATGTTCAGAACTTTATAACCAGAGGATTTGAAGTATTAAAGGCTTATAGATCGGATAGATGGATAAGACTCGTGTTTTCCAGATAAGTACAATTTCAGTGATAAAATTTATTGACAAAAGCTCTTTACGTTTTCAACGACATAATCCACCGCAAGGCCGGTATCGGATTATTTTTAATAAAAACGAAAAGTTGCGAGTTTCCTGTACTCTATCTACACTGGTATAATGAAAGCGAAAAATCAAGTGGAATTTTTAAATTTTTCTGTTTATTTTATTTCATTATTTATCTAATATAGATAACAGCAAAAATAAATAAAGCATCGTATCGTTCTGTCGACTCGAATCAAATCGATTAGGAAAAATCGAGAAACTGTAAAATTTACCTTCATCCAGGGTCGATCTAAAAGCGCCTACCCAACCTGACCCGATATCCTCTACTCGGCAGTTGTACTTGCTTTTACTCGACCTCGACTGAACTAAGAACTAAGATATTATCAAAAATATACACTATACACCAAATTGTACGATGTAGCCTTTAGAACAAATAAAGTTAAACTGAGGTCGGGCTAGGCCACAGGATCAAGATAAAAGCGTGTCATGAGCCCTAATGAGAATGGAAAGCGATAAGCTTGCGAACAAAATCTTCACTCTCGGGAATACTGTGAAAAGGTTTCAACCAAGTATCAAGTTTATACGACAACTTAACAGCACTTAGATTAACGTTTTGTGGCTGTTTTAGGCTGTAATTACATTTGAATTGATCTTGTAATGTGTGGAACGTTTATGTCGACCAGTGTTACTTAGCTAATACGAAACTAATGTTGTTATTTTTATTGCTTTTTATTAATTTAGTAAAGTGTGGAAGAGACACGCTTCGGCATGAACGGATCGGCTTGAGACCACATCCCTTCTCTCCCCAATCCCCAAAACACCTATTTGCATCTCATTTGGCATCGTATTTGGGTGTCCATGGGCGAAGTTGGTCCCTTACTATCAGCTAATCCGTCTGTACATTTGTCTAGTAGTGGCCTGCAGTGGATATGGTTTTAGGGCCGAAGAAAACTAACTAGCGGACATACACTATGGTACACCACAAAAGAGTGCTTTAAAAATACTGTAGCCGACATCTGTTAAGTTTTCCTGAAATCTAAATAATATAACATATTTTTCAAGGCCAACACGCCATACTTCGACCAACTATCAAATTCACTAAGCATCAGATTATCGGCAATCATCGAAGTCCCAATGACGTGCGTCAGATCATATTGCGCGACAGCCCAGTGTCCCTCGGGCAAATACTTTATTGGATCGTTTCCAAGGAAAACTCAATTATGAACGAACAATGTGCAGAAATAACGCGGCGTCCTTTAATGGAAGTTGGGGTCTTGTTCTGGTAGAAGTAGGACTAACATCTGAAGTGTTAGCGCTAAAAGAAATTTCACTTCAATATTAAGTAATAGGTTTAGACGTTAACGGACACTTTTCTGTTAGGTTTTATTAGGAATTCTTAGTGCCATTGTTAATTGGTTGGAGTTTCCAAAGCTTCTAAACTTTGGAAAGGCTAAGTTTTTAAGGGAAAAGTGAATTATTGCAAGTTTACTAGAGTTCTCGGCTGAAGTAAAACTGGTGTTCTCAATTCCAAACATCAGCAGATGTGCCATTAACTGGACGGCCTTAAAATTTCAACTTCCAATAACTCTGAACACAAGAAGAAGCATTCAAAATTAGAGTCGGGAAAAACAATGTATTAACAAATTGCGATCTTCCAAAACAAAAGAAAGTGTACCGCGTCGTCGGTTTGTGCTTAGCATTTATGAACTTCCATTTATTTCGTGTTGTTTTATTAAAGCCAAAACAATATTTGCTGGCATTTTGCCTTCAACTAAGCGTTGGTGTCGGACGGAGTTTAACTAACTAAGTAAAGTAAAAACAAAGCGCATTGCAGCTAGCGCCCCTCGTATTCTACTCGTATAACTGTATCACGAACGTAATCCTAGTAAATCAAGCAGAAATCTCGGGACAGAGGAAATTCATTAAATTAATTAGAAGTATCAGTTAAAGCTGTAAAGTCTAAACATTATTGAGATACGACAGTGATATCTAATTACTTAGATTCAGCCGACTAAGCTTAGAAGCGAGTTAATTTTAGAAAAACCTCTAAAGGTGTAAGCATACACGCATGCCACAAACGTACGTACTTAATTCAATGGACCATGAACAGGTGTTCTCTGCCCAACACAATATTAACATAGTCAATTTCCCACGATATAGGCTACAATAAAATTAGCATTCAAATCGAGTACCCAAAAATCATTTTGAATCGACCAGGGCCAGTGTAAACTTGGCCGAAACGAATTTTGTTTTCGGCCTCCCAATTACCGCTGTTTGCAAGACAATATTGAAGTTTAATATTGCTTTCGTTACTGTGTGCTCTATTCGTGGTAAATGCCAATTAAAATATTTGGCTCAACGTCTACGGTAAACAATTTGAAAGCGTACACTTGTTAATCGATAATGTCCTATCATGAGATAATATCTGTTAAGTTTTCTGTTGGTACGTAGTATGTATAATTTATAAATAAAAACTGAGCATTGAATAGTCATAATGTTGGTCGTAAAAGTATTATACAGCGTTAATGGTCAGTCAGATAAGTAATAACACCTCCGGGGCCGGTTTCATCGGCTGGGAGATGATCATAGGTGCCATGTTCTTATTGCACTTGTGTGGCTATTTCTACGCGCCATGCGTACACCGTTGTGTTCACAGCCAGACAGACATCTTTAGTGTTTTATTGGAACAATACCCTCGGGTCCAGTTTGTACGTCCGCGACGAATTGCGGCGAGAAGGAAGTCTGTCTCTTTGCAACTACAATTCCAATCTCTAACGTCCAATCAGTTTAATGTCTTTGAAATTTAGGTACAAAATTATTATGAGTAAAAAAGTTAAAATATCAAAGTTTCTATTCTAAATGCTAGGTTGAAAACCTGCGTTAATTTCACGCTTGGATACAAACAATAACACGAAACGAGTTGAATCTGAGGTCTGTTTAAGATTCTTGCATTGCAGTTATGCGGAGACCGTAGTCAAGCTCCAAATTATGTAAACCTAATTTACATTTAAATAAAGGAGTCCACAGAGAAGTACCTGCAGTAATATTTAATCCGCTTAACATATTGAAATGCGTGGAAAGCCGTTTCAACTATGATTGTCCATATTTTATTTATGAAAACATTGCATAAAAATGAATATTCCATCTCCTTTTATATGGAGTTAACCGATTCATGTATACTAAATTATTAAACGTATATTTTATTATTTTTTTTTTGGTTATTGAAGACCAATGTTTTCAGCTGGATAAAAGTATATTCGTTGCTAAAATTAATCAACATTTAGCACAGATTTTTATCAACAATGCTTAAGTAGTTGTTAAGACTACAATTAATTTTGGCAATGATAAAAATGCTTTATAATTGTCTCTTCGGTTACAGGTACTCCTAGTTCATGAGGCATCGAAGGGAAGTTTCTCACGTGTCTTCGACCTGGAGGCTGGTGATGACACCGATCTAGGTACACCGAGGACCTCACCTTACGAGAGTCGGTTTCCTATTAACATTGGCATTACGGGATACGTTGCTACTACTGGCGAGGTGAGTTTTATGTTTTTATGTTTTTGTAATTTAGAATTGCCTTTTGGTATTTTGGGTTTAGGTAGAGGAAGAAGAATGTTTGTAAAATTTTTCAGTGAAAAAATTTAGTACAAGTGGTAGTAGACCATCATTTGTTCCTTTTTATTAACAACTTGTCTCTGCATTGTTCTCACATATTAGGGGTACAGTAATGTATAAAAAATGTATTATTGGTGAATTGTAAAACAAATATTTTTTTAAAAAGAGTAACGATGGAGTTTCTTGCTCGTTCTTCTCCATTCGAAACTACAATTTGGAACGAGCACCTAGCTTCACTGACGAACAGACTGACAGACTACTATTCTATTTTGACGTTTCAGAAGTACCTATTTATGGTTTAGTTGGAATAAATGATTTTGATTTGATTTGATTTGAGTAAATTACGATTTAAACAGCCCAAGATTATGTGGTACTTGCTTAAGTAACTCCGTTAAGCTTTTCAAGCTGGGTTAAATAGTTTTACGCTGTTAAATTTAAAGTGTAATCGTTTTAATAGAAAAATAATAACACAACGAAAATAACAGACCTTACAAATACATTCTTGATTGCACAAGTCTGTCTTTTGACCACTTTGCTATCTTTTGTCTGAGTGAAGCAAAACCCACTTCATCTTGGAGCACTGTGTGACTTGCCCAGAGCACTCTAGCTAACGATCTTAGTCAACTTCAGCGCTCCGACGGTTGTTAGACCACGAAGCCACGTCAGCTTAATAACTATGATACGTATTAAGGGACCATACATAATATTAGTGCTAATAGACTCAGTAACTTGCACGTTGCACTTGGCATTAAATCAAGCTTATTGTAAATTAAGTTTAATTGTCATCTGTTTAGGTTTCATTTTCTTTGCTACAACAGTGATCGGTCTTCCTGTAATTTTGTAAAAGTTTGTTGTAAAATTCAGTTAGGATTCGTTTTAAAGCAAGATTTTCTTCTGAGTACAAAGTACTGGACATTGACTTAAGTGATGGAACATTTTAAGATAATTGTTTGTGGACGCACCACATTAAATAGGTCTTATGTAGATAGAACTCTAATTCTAAAACTTCAAGAAGAAATAAAACCAATTATTCTGTACACCTTAAAACTAAGGTCGCTTCTTAAGAATTAATTTTCCGCGGCTTAAAGATATGCAGTAATTTCAAAGTCCCTAAGTGCTTTTCAACTAATTCACAGGGGTTCATTAAAATTGTCTCGCGGAGTGGTTTGTAGTACGTATGCTCGTGTAGGTCGCGAGTGTATTCATTCTCTGAAAGGTTAAAATTAAATGAGAACTTGTGGGTAGGAACATTATAGTCAATTAACACCACTTCGTCTGTAGAAATAACATTTTCCTTGTGTTTTCAGACTGTGAACATTCCGGATGCCTATTTAGATCCCCGTTTTGATCCGTCCGTCGACGAAGGCACCGGATTTAAACACAACACAATACTTTGCATGGCCATTAAGAATTCCGAGGGGAGGATTATCGGAGTCATTCAGGTAAGTTTGAGATTTTAACAAAATTTTGTGACTTTAGTCGCAGACACATTTATTTTTGCTTGGAACTCGCAAGGGAAGCTTAATGTAAACTTAATTACCTACGCAGTGCCAAAAATGTGATAAAATATGGTAATTGCACACATAAAAATAGCCAAACGATTCCATAAAGTGACCGGATTTATTCGAAAAACGTGTTGTCAATAAAATTTGGTCACGTAGAATAAATGAAAAATTCAAAGAGTTGTCACAATTTGTAGTAAAAACATCGCAATGCGGAGATGTGGAAGCCTACATATATGGGTATACGGTAGTATACAGAATTTAGCTCGTATCTAGGTACATTTTACTAATTAACTCCTAAATTATGTAGGTACACAGACACGTACAAGTTTTCTTCGTTTGTTGAATTTTGGATTTAAGCGTCTGCCGCCGAAGTTTTATCTCGGGAAAACTTCCAACGAGTAAACATAAATTACCCAGTCAATGTCAACCGTTAAAAGAATTTGACACCAAAGATATTAAAAGCGTAAAAATGAAATAAAGCAAGCTAGACTATGAAGATGTGGCAGATTAAAATGAATAAGATATTATTGCAAACGCGGAAGATAAAACTCGGTTTAATGCGAATCTGTATAAAAACATTAAAATTTTCCGCAATGCGACAAACAATATTTTTTATTACACTCGAAATGTGTTATAAGTTACGACTGCAGCCATCTTTCTTATATTTTATTTTTTGAATAAATACTCATTAGTGAAAATGTTGCGGCCTATTTCTTGTGTACGTTTCTCTTTGTGGTTTTATTCTTTGTTTGCATTATCCGCTATGTTTGTTGATGGTACATTCTTTCGTAGCATTCAAAAGGGTTGGGTTTTGCTCCATATGTGCCTTCCTACCTATATAATATCGTTAACGAAAAAACAAGTAGGAATCTCTGTACAACATTTTATCAAATAGCCAAATTACTTGTTTAACTTGCAAAATGAAATGAGTTCTGTTAAAAGCTTCTGTTGTTGTGTAATGTGGAGTTTTATGTTTGTTTTTATTTTCATGTAGCAACACAAAAATTTACTTAACATAACAATGAAATATTACAGCCATGTTACATATTTAACGATGTTTGTAGACATGTTCTTTATTCATTAATGTACTCGTATGACTTAAAACATGGAATAATTGAATCAGTTTGTATGTACTATCTTCATCAACTTGTACCCCTCTAGTGCAATCGTTTTATTTATTATTACTTTCTTTACAAATCAGTCTACCATATTAGTCTGCGAAGCTTAAGTAGTTTTAAAGTTTACTTTGTGAAGAATTTGCATCGAAATCATCACTTCGAATGAAATCCTTTCTTAAACAACTAAGTATCTCGAAGAAATATTAAAACTATGGAGACATTCTATGGTTACGTGTCTGCAAGAAAACTTTGAAAATGTTTTTGTTAACACAACAGTTGTTAATGCAAGTTTGTTTTTGGAACGACTTGAAGCAGCTTTCTGTATCATCGAAAGAAAATACATAAGATTTAAATTAACAGATGATTTCTTTAAAAAAGTTTTACGCAAGACGTTAATTCTATTGTTTTACTCTACAATGTTTCTTAATAATTTATTAGTCTAAAATATAGTTATTATAAAAGCTTAAGTATTTGAGACGTCGTCGTCACTACAATATTTTGTTAAAAACCAATAACGCTTAAGCCTTTGACTGCCGATAGAAAAACATTGAAGGCAACTCCTCCGCTACCGTGGTGGCTTACGTGGTAATAACAGCGAGATATATTTATTAAAAATCCTCAAAAAAATTAAGAGGCAACAGTCGTTATTCAGTGTTATAAAAAAACTGTAGTTGTTTCTATAATGCAAATATCACTGAAGTTAGGAACCCTACATATGTTACCTTAAAATTTTAAAATTATTTTCATAACTTTTTCCAGTTGATCAACAAATTTGATGAGCTCCTGTTTACGAAGAACGATGAGAACTTCGTTGAAGCGTTCGCGATATTCTGCGGTATGGGTATACATAACACGCATATGTATGAGAAGGCTATCACCGCTATGGCGAAACAGAGTGTTACTTTAGACGTAAGTGCATTGTCTTTAAAGTCCTTTGTAGTATATTTGTTTTTAGTTTCATCTTTAATATTAATATGATTATTATTCAGATCGATTTTAGCACTTTTAACCTTATCATCTTCAGTTTCAAAATTAGCAGCACCATTGTATTCTGCTGTGAACATAACGATTGTAGCTTCTAACGCATACCATATGGCTCTATGATTCAAACAAAAGAAGTAAAATGACCAAATTGTTTTAGTTGAGGCCTTCAGACTAAGTAGAACTTAAGGCTAACCGGCCTAGAATAGATATAATTGTCCATTGTACTACAGTACAAACCGCCTACATTCATCTGGCACTAGTCCAAACTCCAACTTCACACTTAACGTATTATTATTATACGCTACTAAAATTTTATTATGACAACTTTACTTGAATTAAACTACTATTCCCTCTAAAGTTAGCGACATAAGGTACATTTTTAGATGAATAAATAATTTGTTTGATTGCAGGTTCTAAGTTACCACGCATCCGCATCATTAGACGACGCTCAACGGCTACGGGTGAGTTCACAACACAAATGGTCATGATGCAGTAATCTGTTCTAACTACACACAGGAATATAAACTCAATCTAGACGTATCTAAAGTTCACAATCGAGTTCATTAGGATGCTAAACAGATTGCAGAAGTGGTCGATGTATGTGCCAGGTCGTATGTTCTTGTATGTAGTTTGTAAAGTTGGTACCTCGGAGCGAATGCCTCAGCCAGTCATATAATTAACAAACTCAAAGTGTAATTAGATGAACATGTTTATGTTAACAGGTTTGTTTCAAACTTGGTTCATGATTGCTCACTGAAAGTTGGTACTACCGGCTTTGCCTCGAGCGCTGCGAGAAATGAGTTTTCGTATTCAATTTGTACGAAAAATTCTTTAATGTAATTGCTTTTCTGTGCCTATGTAGTAATTTAATTAGGACAGATGGAAGATTTGCTTTAATTTGCTTTTAAGTGAATTGTTTTTATAGTCTTGGAAAATTCCAAAACAACATTCTGTAGTTCGTGGAGAACTTCAAGGTATAAAAGTAATATTAGGATTTTTGCGACTTTTACATTCTCCAGCAGTATATAATTTCATATTTACTCTTTTACCTACAAATTATATTTCAACTAGTTAAATATCATTTGAAATACTACATATTACTATCTACCTTCTTACACAAAGTAATTTCTAAAACAAGACAATGTAACTTTGTTCTTATTACAATTTCGCAATCAAATAAAACAATAACGTGCTCCTAAAAACTTCCGAGCTTAAACACTTCCAATGAACCGCTGGAGGCCTGTTAGCATAGCTCGGAGTTCTCGCAAAGTTGGTCAAATTGTTTCAGCCATTTTAATTCATACCTGAAGTCTTGTATGCAGTAATTAAATTCCACGCGTCACTCACGTGGACCATTTAATATTGAACCGCAATGCTCACGTAATTGACTTAATATTTATTGATAATGGGCATTCATTTACCGTACGACTCGACGGTAATTATTTTAACCGTTTTAATAAACAGCTCTGTTTAAATTAATTACTAAATGGTTTGCTTGTGTGATTGGCGGGTGGTGTGTGATTGGGAAAAATCTGAGATAGTGTACGCGGTCGAGGTTATTTTTATTTTGTTTTGCTTAATTATCTTCACTCACAAAATAATTATGTCAGTAATTTACTCATTGATATTATTTTGAGTGATATAATATAGAAATGTAAAAGCTATATAAGTAATACACTTATCGTAATGATTTTCTGTTTAAGTTTTTTGATATTAGTCCTAACATTCAGAAAATAAAATAAAGCCTACTCTCAAAATGATAGCGAAAATACGCTGCCCATATATTACATATTGTCGTTCTTTTCACAGTTCATCTAGGGCCAATTTACACCAAGACCACCTCTTTGTTGTTTTTTGAGTCACTTTTAAAAGCGACTCAAAAAAAAAACTTTATTGTTTACAAGACAAGATACATATTTCACGTGGTGTTTCTAACAGCGATGCACAACGGCTACTTCTTTGGGCTTTTACACGATCGTGACTGACGTGAATGACTCTTATGGTGACACGAAGTACTCAATACTATCTTCTTACAGTAACAAATAGACAGTATAACACTATACATACTATAAAAACAACTTATTATAGAAATTAATGAAAGTTTTTCCACAGACGTTAAGAATACCTTCGTCCGCCCACTTCAGTCTTCATGAACTCGCTTTCGACGACATCGAAATGACGGACGATGACACGCTGAGGGCCTGTCTCCGTATGTTCCTAGACCTCGACTTTGTGGAGCGGTTTCACATAGATTACAGCGTCCTTTGCCGGTGGCTGTTGAGTGTTAAGAAGAATTACCGCAATGTAACTTACCACAATTGGAGGCACGCGTTCAACGTCGCGCAGATGATGTTCGCTATTTTAACGGTGAGTTTTTTATGTGAAATATTTGTTTTTAGAATTATGTATAAATCTCTAGACCACTGATTTCGCGGTCATTTAAAGTATTCAGGTTTTATAAACTGGAAAGTCTTAGCATCAGTTTATCAGTACCTATAATGCCAATGTCCCTAAATATTTTTCGAGAAAAAGAGTATGCTTCAAATTAATGTCTATAGTTAAGTAACAGTTGAGGTATAATTGAAAATTTTCAGTTCATGATCATTTTGAAATTACATTTTCACACTTAAGAAACAGTAAATACCTCTTCTTCTGATCTTTTGGGAAATAATAACAATATGTCAGAAATTTTAAGTTCATTGCTTGTATGTTCAAACTCGAGTAATATCTGGCCTTGCTTCAGGAGACACAGTGGTGGAAGATATTCGGGGAGCTCGAGTGCCTGGCGCTCATCATCGGCTGTCTGTGCCACGACCTTGATCACCGGGGGACCAATAATTCGTTTCAGATCAAGTGAGTAATTTTTTGTGTAATTTTTTCAGCAATTTATGATAGGAATGGTCTTAGCTACATGAGAAAAGACAGCATGCAGACTTTTAAAGTGCAATGTGTGATTTTCCATTACAATATGACAGAAATCTTTAGATGTGAACTAATTAAAATTAAGGCAGGGTTCAGTCTTAAGCTGCCTGGATAGTTAGTGAAAGTTAAATACTCTTTTTCAAAAAAATATAAGTAGACTATAACAAGTATTGGTAACTTATTATAATAAATAAAAAAAAACACTTTATTGAAACCAAAATGGTCAGAATATACGTATTTTATTGACTAAACATCCCTCATTCCAGGGCTTCATCACCTTTGGCACAGCTGTACTCCACCTCCACGATGGAGCATCATCACTTCGACCAATGTCTCATGATCCTCAACTCGCCTGGAAACCAGATCCTGCTCAACTTATCCTCGGATGATTACGAGAAAGTAGTTAAAGTGCTCGAAGATGCTATCCTCTCTACTGATTTGGCTGTCTATTTTAGGTAAGTTAATATTTGCTTAATTGTCAACTACTTAATTCCTATAACTTGGGTCGGACTCCTTGATTTTACCACAATCCAGTTTATTATGGTCTTGCTTAGTATGATCTTACCGCACATTCACCGGTAAGTTTATGCTGTTATCATAACTTGATGTGTGACTGTGTACTTTATTCTTATCCGAATAGCCAATTTACATCGAACTCCTATTCCGGCAGTAAATAAAAAAGATTTATCCGAATTGGTGCAGGCATTCGTTTTTTGGTGTCTGGCAGTAGGACGAGACGGATTATACCTGGCAAGCAATGTATCTCAATGTTGCCCTATTTTTTATCCTGTAGGCACGTGCACCCCTGGGCGCCTTTCTGTAACCTAGCGCACCAGACACTTGCCTGATCTACCTTAGTGATAACACGACTCTAACCTAACACAAAAACCTTTACTTCCAGTAAACGCAAGGCCTTCATCGAGCTGGTTAGCACGGAGCGACAAGTGACTCCCAACTGGGGAGAATGCGAAGACCGCCGTGGTCTTCTCCGAGCAATGCTGATGACTGCGTGTGATCTCGCAGCGATCACCAAGCCTTGGCCCGTGGAACGACGAGTCGCTGCTCTTGTGGCTGGAGAATTCTTCCGACAAGGAGACTTGGAGAGACAGAACCTGAATTTGACGCCTATTGTAAGCATTTTTATTAGTTTTTTTTTTTGCAACTAGGTGTTGAGGGATTCTCCAAAAAACCTTCAAATCATTGATTTAAAATGGGTTTTTTATATCAATGCTTAACATTTATTTAACAAATTAGAATCCTTCCGAGTTGTTAAGCATCTTAGTATAGAATAATAAGTTTATTCAATATTTGAAGTAGATTAAGCAGTAAGCAGTGGTATGATTTATTTTAATTAAATCATTGTTTGTGTTTTTATCGGCAATATCGTTACTTTTGGGTTGAGGATATCATGGAATTTTTGTAAAATTTTTAATTGAAATCATTGAGGGATGCCTATATTCAGCATTGGAAATCTTGTGGCTGATGTAATGATGATTATAATGTAAGTTTTTTATGAGATAGGTCTGTAAATGAGTAGATGGATGAGTGATGGTAAGCAATAGGCAACGCCCATGGACACCTTTGTGAAAGGAAAATGATCAAATGACGTCTCCCGCCCAAGGTGCGCCCCGCTCTAGCTGACTAAAATCCTCCCTCGTTGCTTCTCCTGTCGAGGCCACGATGCCTTATTGTGCTTGCCTCCAACCCCAGTTTAACATCAGCCCTGTAGGGCCCCGTCTGTGGTCCATAGACACCTGCAACAACACCAAAAGTTCGTGGATAGTTACTGATTTGAGGATCGGGGATTCGAGGCTTTGGGATCGTGGGAGAAGGAAATAAAAAGGCAACCGTGGTTCCTTCTATTTAAGCAAAAATAAGGATGACGTCACATCCAAAAATCGAAATGAAATATTATTTTTGTCTATAATTTCTATGCAAGCCGCCTAGTCACAGTTTATGTAAAATAATATAAAATAGTAATTATTTATATAAAATTAAATAATTATTTGACATGATTTTTTTTGTAAATTCCAGGACATAATGAACAGAGATAAAGAGGACGAACTCCCTGCTATGCAAGTCAAATTCATCGATACGATCTGCCTGCCTATCTACGAGGTAATATTTTCATTACAGTTTTAGCCCTACAGATCTGAGATTTTACTTACTATAGAGAGAACATATTAATTAAAAGTTTATCTTTTTTAGTATGCTAAAACGCTACAAAACTACATTGTACATAATGTATCATTAAAAAAATTGGGCAGTCTATTATTATTAAACAAAGCTAATTTCAGCTCATTAGATATCCCTATTTCCCCTGATGACAAGAAAATATGATTAAAAGAGTATTATTTGTTTATATTTTTTTTTTATTATACGAAATTATTATTTCTAGGCATTCGCAGTACTATCGCCGGCCTTACAGCCGATGCTTGACAGAGTAAAGAGTAATCGCGGCCACTGGATCGACCTCGCTAACAACGACGGCGGGGAAAAGTTCGACTACGGACTTGACAAGGAACCAGAGAGAAATGACAAGTCTAGCATTAGCTCACAGAACGTCGACGATACAGAGAACACGTATGAGGGAGATAGCAGTGGTGCTGTCAGCCTCTCTTCAGAAACAAACTCCAAATATGAGAACCTAGAGAATCCTGTCGTAGGACTTCTGTGCAACAACGTCCTCACTCTCAGAGATCCAAACAAGTTCTGTCAACTAAATGACTATTAAATCCCGCTAAGGACAATGTGATAAAGTGTACAGGCGGGTTGATAGTGCTCCCACGTTTCAAAGGCCAATAGCGAAGCCAAATCGTCCATTTAGGATGTTAGGATTAGAACTATAAGTTTCTAAGCATCTAGCACGACTAACAAATTTCACTTAATTTTCATTCGTGGCTCGTCCTTATTGCATTTTAGTCGATTAATTATCATATTTGTATGGTTGATCATTTGTTTATATTTTCATTTTCATGTGTCCTATTGGTCCGCTTGGAATGTTGGGCGATTACGTGAATATTATAATATGCAGTTCACGCGATTTTCAACCGACAGTTGTGTGATATTCGTTTAGTAAATAGATGATTTAGTCGAATTTGAAATTTATCTAAACGCATGGCGTAATTATCGATAAGTTGTCATGACCATCGCCGCACTATTTTTATACACTTCATTATGTAGCTTTACAATATTTAAGTACCTATAAGAGGAAATTTTACAAATAGGTATATAATGTTTTTTAATTTACCTCATTCGTTTATTCCTACTACGTAATACATGAAGTCGTTTCGTGTGTCGATAGTTTTGGTATCATTTAAGATACAGACATAATAATAATAATTATACATCTAATGAAATATTCAATTTCTCATAGAAACATAAATATTTCGACGTTTAAATAAAATACTCTTATCCACGCTGACCGCAGTAAGTGTAACAAAACAGGGCCTAACTGTCGTGACGTAGTTGTATGACCAAAATACCAAAAAGTTTTTATGTAGATGTACTAAAATCTTATTTTTGTTTTAATGATTATTCGGTTTTTTATCATTACCTATCTATTAATCCTTTCATAATTTGTATTTCATATGAAATTTAAATTATTATTAAAACCTCTGATTATGTGTGTGTGTGCTGAATTATATAATGCACTGTCGACAGTTTGTGTAATGTCAAATGGTAATTCTACAGTAGCACAACGTAATGTTTTTGTAAATAATTAATCAATGTTATAAATACTGTAATACTAACGTGTTGTAATTTTGCTAAGTACTTATTATAAATTCGGGTTTTCTCTATTAATTGTACCTACATGGATAATTTTGTTTCTATATACTGACTTTTTTAATTGTATGCAGTAATTCGATGAATCGTATGCCACGAAAAAATAGACTTTATTTCAATGGGATTAGAAATATAATTGAATCAAGTTGCTGAATACGATTTATTAGTCGGGATATATTATTTTATCTGCTTATAGGAACTGTGGCCTCGCATTGATTTTTCAAGACAGTTACGGCACCCTCTGATCCATTCCAATTCTATTTTCGATTTTTAAAATAGATGCCTCCATTTTGTTTGTGTTGTCCAGTAAGTTTTTTATAAAAAAAAGTGTCAATTATAATCTACATACGGAATTTATTATGTCCTTTTTATAAAGAATTTTACAGTTTACATTTTTATTTCGTTGGGTGAGGGCTATCATTTTTATCCTCAACAGACGGTCTCAATAAAGTATGAGTTCTTGTTTGTCCAATAGAGCTATTGCCAACAATTGGACAATTCATTTTTATTGGATAAACTGAATGCTACTGATAAGCGCCATCTTGTGACCGAAAATTGTAACCCTCGTTGCATTTTTTCTCAATCTGTCGACGTCAACTGTATTTATAAAATGGACATATACGCTAGTAGTTGTTCTTCTAGTCTTTTGCTAAATTTGACTTTCAAATCATGTTTTATGTTCGTTCGTTTTTGTACTTTTTAATGCATCAAAATTCAACAAAATCATAGATGTCGTTTTCATAGATGTTATAAGCGAAAGAGAATCGATTTCTAATGAATAAAGAGTCCTTATTACAACATTAATTCAATGGCACTACTGTAAAAAAAACATAATTAAGTATAGAAAGAAGGACGGATATTTTGAAATATTTCTTAAATATTTTTGCACTGTATTTTAACTAATGTTACATTAAAATCCAAATACCTTTAAAACACTATTCCATTCTCTTTTTTTACTTTTCTGTCTTCACTTTTGTATTCCCGTCCTTTTTTACTTTAGCGCCATCTAGTGTATGTTTAAGGACAACTTAGAGTTTTACGAACGACTTATTTTTGATTTAATTTATTGTGCTGGTAACTCTTTAGGTTTACTAGTCCAGTTTAGTATGTTTGTATTTAGGAGTGGAAGAATAATATCTTGCAAGGATTTAAAGGCGTACCGCCTTTAGTACTACCTATACGCCACTAGTAGGATTGAGAATGGAAACACCAGGTTTGCCTGGGGTTGCCAACCAAGCTTTGTAATACCACGCAAATAACTAAAGACATTTTGTTAGAATACGCGATCTGGTGGTAGCCTGGTGTCCGATTTAAATAAGATTCTTTTACAGTCTATTGATTACGACCTCTATGATAATAAGATTCTTACTTACCAACTTGTAAATTTTTCATTATAACAATGAAATCAATTTCATCTCTAAATAATGCTTCAAATTTGGAAGCAAAACAATTTCGACTTGTTACGTCACTATTTCGATCTTCTATCAATATAATTATTATATTATATTATAAATAAAAATAAAAAATATGACCAAATCCTCCATGAAGAAAAATTGAAAAATAAAAATATATTTTGTAATTGGAATAATTCTCTCTATAAGCATTAGATATTTACATGAAGAAAATCTCAAATTAATTGTGGTTATAAAAACTATGTACAACATTAATTTTAAGATTACTGTAAGTATTATTAGAAAGTAATTAGAAAATTAATAATTGTAATTCACTAAATGACGAGTTGTATGGTGTGTGAATAATTATGGAGGTTGTTTTGTTCCAAACAAAAATGTTATTTATTTATGATTAAACAAATTTTGAAATAATATACTGTTTTTATTTTTACAACGCGTCATCTACCGTACTACAGCTACATAGGCTGTAGACCAACGTGACGCGTGCCAAAAGTCAAAGAAAGCAAAATACAAATAAGTATCATATGATCATACTAGATGGCGCTTTGTATATGCTGCCAACTAAGTTCATAGGACAAAGGCATGAATTTGTGTGAATTGTTCGAGTAGACATGAATGCGATTAAAAAGTAAAGAGATTAGGACATATTCAAATATCGCATGTTATTCGATTTTAGAAAACCGAACACATTTCTATCGTCCCTTACCTATAGCTGAAATTATTATATTATCTTGTTCGTCTCGCGTGGCTACTAAGGACCGTTTTACTTCACGATACTTAGGCTAACCATTATTTTACTTACATGGACATAATTACAGCTTATAAATGGAAGCGTGGGCATCTCCGATCACTAACTGATCGGTGATGCGTTCGCTCGTTTTTTATTTATGTGATAGGTCGGTTAACGACCCTAGTGATACCACGGCCTCGCAGAAAACCGGCGTGAAACAGCCACAGCGTTGTGTTTCGTCGTGTGAACGAGGTTACCGGAGGCCCAATCCTTCCCCTCCCTAAATCCTTCCCCAATCCCTAAATCTCCAAATCCCCAAATCCAAAAGGTCGGCAGTGCACTTGTAACTACTCTGTTGCTGTGGGTGTTCATGGGCGGCGCTGATTGCCTACCACCAGGTAATCCGTCTGCTCGTTTGCCGAACTATCACAAAAAAAAACACAAAATTTGGTAAATAGTAGAATTGGATTCAACAAACCCCAAGCAAACTATAATATCCTATTGTTCTTCTATTGTGCCTCGAATTAACACGACTGAAAGGCTAAGAGACAGGTCGGTAAAAGGTACCGTACTATTCTGCAGAATGTCCTAATTGGCATTGCGGTTGGCGAATACATGACAGCAAGATGTTGAATGCCCGGGACAAGCCTGAACTTGGCTGTTACTAAGGACCGGATCGTCAACTTGGACCACAGCCAAATCTTTTTCATTGCCTACCAAACTCCAAACGCTCGCCAATGTAGGTACTAATAATAAAATAAAAATAAAAAAAGCCTTTCAATCCTAAACAGAAGGTAATTTGTTAGTAGTAATAAATTGCAAAAATAAAATGTACTAATACCAATAATTAAGGAAAAACCCTTTCAATGTGGATAATATCTATACGAAGTACCTAATAAATAATTTACTCTTACAAAACTGTCTGTCTGCTATATAATATATATTACTTAACATCGATTGTTTTTCCAAAAAGATAGAATACTTCATAGCTTTATAATCTAAATAATCTTTTTAGTGTCAAAAAAAGTCTTCAGGGGAAAATCATCCAATGACTTCTTTCGTCCAGGGTGCGCGTTACTTATTGGGCGAGCCGAGTAGGGCCCCGTCTGTAGTGGTCTATTAGCTCTTTGAGGCGCGTGCTGTACGCTCGGGACCTCATAGAGGAGTTGGTTGATTAAGAGTACCCGGTGCCATTTACATTTGCTGATCGTGGCCATCGGGGACATTTTAGCAAGGTAACCAACCCAGACTCCCTAGTCTTATTTCCTAAAAAAGTTAGCCTTGTAAAGGGTTAAGCCGGGGTTGCGGAGCAAGCGCAATAGTGTACCAGGAAAAGGAACGGGGTAGTTTTTACTCAGTAAGATATAGAAACTTTCTCTCGCCATGATTGAATAAAAAAATAAAAATGATATTTTTCCCTCAAAAAAGGTTACTTATCCCGTCAAAACTAACAAATAAATAATACAAGCCTTGTCACTTACATCTTTCATAGGCTTTTTGCTAGGTAATGGACTACGTATCTAACAGTTAAAAAAGAGTATATACCTACTGGTTACAGTTATGGTTGCTTGATTTCAATGATAATACGTATAATTATTTTCATAAAAACCAAAATTAAATAAAATATTTTACGTTTCTGTGTCATAGTTTCAGGCTTAATGCGACTGTCGCGCTGCTACATAACAGCGCGACAGTCGCCGCGTCGCGTGTCGTGGAATGCTGCTCATGAATATGGGCCTCTAGCATGACTTGAAACTAGTCGAGTATCTCGTCAAATTATTACGTGAATAAGGCGAAAACATTTAATAATTAATTTAGTATGTCTCACGAAAGTTATGATAAAAATAACAAAAATAATTGTTTTTTACACTTTACGATAATTGTGAGAGATCAAAAGTTTTGCAGATCGTTTTTTTTTCATGGATCATGTTTTTGTGTGTCGTGGGTGCATTAAAAGATTTGTATGTTTATTAGGAACAAAAAAACCTACACGTTATACAAAAAAGCAGGCCAAAAGAACCATAGGAAAAGTATAAACATAATTACGTCAGATTAAAAAAGTTAAAAATGTTTCGGTACCGGAATCGAAACGAATACTTTCATCAGAGCACTTATGGCCTTTTGCAAATAACAACTGTTTTAGACTAACATGTTTTATATGAACAGTATCGATTCAAACTGTGCCAACAAATAACCGCAGCGTCGTAGTATGAGTGTGTGCATGCAAAATCATTTTCCATTGCGCGTTTTATATCCTGCAGCAAAAAAGTCCCTCGTATGAAACACGCACGGCACAGCTCACAACATTTCAACCAATCACGTGACGCCAAAGGATCACCCCAGGTGGCGTGTTTTCCCGCCAAAATTTTCATCAATAACACTGCGCATGTTGCTCTAGGATACATCCCTCTCTTTCTCCCAGAAGTGAAAGTGACAGGGAAAGTAGATAACCTCTAAGAATTGACGCATGCGCGAGAAGAAGCCTTTTAGAAAAATGCTGGCTAGACGGCGCGTTTTCGTTTTCCGTGTTTCACAATCAGTGGAAATGCGGCGTGCAAAATAGTACGATCACATTGTAAATTATTGTAAATTTTACTACTACAATGTTGTGAATAATGCAGTCTATAGTTTTTAAGGTCTTAGTGTACGTAACTAGTTAAATATAGATAGCAAAAGAGTGAGATTTATTGATATTAAGTAGTAAATGCCTAGTATAAATCAATTTAGTTGCAAATTATTTTAAATTTGTGCGGATATTATTGGATTATTTGGAGTAAAGCTGTTGTATAAGATTAAAGATATAATCGGTAAGTACTACATATGTTTTTTAATGTTTATTTGATGCCAGATGGAATAATATGAGACCTAATAATAGCCTAAGTGTTCTTAGTTCATTATCATGTTCATGTGCGAAGACGGTTAACGTCTGACCTCCCTAATATTGTTTATTATGAATAGCGTTATTTTTATACAAAACACATGTTCGTGGTCTCGATACACTGCAGGACTAAATGAAACGGTTCGGATCAATAATACGTTCCCTATCAATGAATTCTGTATAGCGTAGATTCTTGTTACGCACCACATGGACTTTATTTCGTGTTCATTTTAAGTGGTTTTAGCACGTGAGTACACATGTATCCGTTTTATTATTAATTTATTCATTGGTTTCGGATAGTACCTAACTTAAGTGAAGTTTTACCGATTTGTTACACCCGTAT